ACCCTGCTTCTTTTTGCCACGAGTGGTGGGGACCTGTTACTGGGCAAGAGCTCTATAGCTGCAGAGAGATGAGCCGATTAGAAGCCCAGTGTGACCCTCCAAAGCAGTCCTCTGCTGTAGTCTGCACTTCCCTTCCCAGCTGCTGTGTCCCTGATCTCTGTTATCCCTAGACGGCATGTGCTGTCATCGCTGGCTTCCTCCACTACCTCTTCCTGGCTGCCTTCACCTGGATGTTCCTGGAGGGGCTGCACCTCATCCTCACCGTCAGGAACCTTAAGGTTGTTAACTACACCAGTGCCAGCAGGTTCAAGAAGCGATACATGTACCCCTTCGGCTATGGACTCCCAGCCCTTGTGGTGGCTGTTTCTGCAGCAGCCAACCCAGGTGGCTACGGAACAGGCCGCAAGTAAGTGCCCGGTCCATCCCATGTGGGAGCCAGGTTGTGTCTTCCAGGCAGCTGCTCTAGTTTGTTCTCCTGGGAGGGAGGGAGGGAGGGAGGGTGATGATCGCTTGTATGGCGCCATTTCTTTGCCTGGAGAAAGGGATACAAGCAATGCATGCAGGAGGTGCCCTTTCTTCCCATGCCCCTCCCTGTGCCCCAGCAGCTGAAAACAGGTAACATGACCTTACCTTTGCCTCTTTCCCACCTACCTTTAGCTGCTGGATCAGCCTGGATGGAGGCTTTCAATGGATCTTCATGGGACCTGTCTGTGCCATAATCCTGGTGAGAACATCACAGGGCCCCATTCCTCTCTACCCTCTGAGATCCCACTGATACCAGCAGGGCCAAGAGAACACATCCCCTAGGAGTATGATGAGTCTCTGTTTGGCTTCCTTGCCTAAGGGGTTGGGCAGTCCTCAAGGATGGATCTAGGATTTTGAAAAAAGGGGTGCGGATGGTGCGGTGCATCATCACATACAACACAGCACATTTCTCTCCAGTGAAAGAGAAACTACGGGCTTTACTTACATATTAGGGGGCTAGCACTGTCCAATTCAAAGCAAAAACAAATATAACTGTTGGAAGATGCTGTAATTTGCTAGGTTATATATTAAATTTAGAAGAACAGAACAAACTAGGCAAAAATAGTCAAAATAATTGAAAGATGTTGTGTCATGAGTTCTGGAGTCATTAGAGTTAAATGCACATCTCTTATTCACATATGTAAACAGATTCCATTCTTTTTGAGCATCTTGACAGCATCTCTGATACTTCACTGACAGTCATTCCTATACCCGAGTTAATCTGACCATACCCAGGTTAAGGTTTTTAGCTAGAGCTAAAAACAGTCTGCCCGGCTGTGACCCAGAAGGGAAACACCCCCAGGACTGGATAACAGATAGCAGAAGAAAGGAGAGTTTACATAGTGGAACATCAATACTATTAAAAAGGAAAGGAATAACTCCTGTGGATTAAAGAGGTTAGCAGGAATTAGGGGGATGATAATGAACCACAAAGTCAACAGACCCTCCTCAGTGCTACATAAACAGAAATGCTGCTTCCTCTCCTAAGCAGTTGGTTTCAAAGTTTGGGTGGAACAGGAATCAAAGTGGCATGTAACCCCTCTGTGGCAGGGCACTGTGTGTGCCTGCCACTTTAAGGGCCTGGAGCTGGCAGCCACCGGGTCCCTGAGGAGGCCAGCCATTTTGGAGTCAAGGGCTGTCTATATAAACAGGGCAGTTTGGCTGCCTGGAGGCCAGGCAACAACATCGCCTGGCCGGAGGGCTGCTGAGATCATCTGGAGGTACAGGAGAAGCTGTAGGGGATGGTAAGGAGGCTCCTGGTCCTGGGCATGACCTAAAACTGCACCCTGCCGGGAGTGGGTGGCCTGGTGGGGCTCTCAGTAGCGCGGGAGCCCCCAGGAAATGCCAGGTCAATTACCACCCAGGTGAAAGGTGGGTTGGGGCGCCTTAACCCCTAGCCCCCACCACTGGGTGGGTAACCCCCTTTGGGTGAAGGGCCCAGAGGGCAGACTCTGAGAGAGAGTGAGGAGCTAGAGACCCGACCTGAATGAGAGAGTACCCTCGACTGGCCCATGCTGGGGCCAGGACCAGGATGGTCAAAAGGGCCAGGGGCCCACCATGAGGGACACCCAAGAGTCAGGGGCCTGAGGTCCCAACTGGCCTGGAGGTAGGCCTGGGCTGATAGCTGAAGGTCTCGGGGGAACCATACCCGAGAGGGGAAAATAGTTTTGGGGGGCTAGGTAGCCTGAATGAAGGCGAAGAGGCCGTCTGAGTGGAGGGAACATGGAGAGGTCCTGTTAGGACAATTCTGGGGCCCAGAGTGGGGGCCGATGATTATGTGAACATCAAGATGCCATCTGCAAGGCTTGGGCTGCGGTATAGGGAAGGAAAGAAGCCGCAGAGAGCTCCCCCTGGCATCGGGGCACCAAAATGGGCAGCCTCCTGCTTAATTGACATCAATTAATGAATCAATTAACATCAAGGCGTGGCGGGTGAGAAGGCGGGCGGTTGGCTCAAGAACAAGGGGCCGGGCCATGGAAATCGGCCCTGAGTAGGCTCCCTGTTACACCCTCCCAGCAATCCTAGGATATTTCCTGGGCTGGATTTCAGTGGCTGACTGTTCAGGATGAGGTGCTGTCAAAACCAGTAGGAGTTTAGCCAAAGCCCAGTAAGAATTTAACCTAATCCAGTTATGCCTGACCACCACAATAGAGGGAAGAGGCTGTATTGGGGAGCAGTATGTAGGAAAATTTGGATCAGTCCTGTATACCCCATCCTAGTAATGGGCAGAAGATATTTTAAAGTGAGTGTGGCAGGAAAGACTCTAGAAACTGGAATCTCTGAGCCAAATCCTGTTCCGAGATGCCTGGTATAGACCCAGAATAACTCTTGACCCCATTGGAGAAAATGGAGTGAGTCTAGCATGGTTCTCATTGTGACTCCAATGATGGTTGGCTGCACTGTCAGCCCCTCACCTCATGTGAAAGGCAGTGCTCCCTGAGCATCCAACAAGAAAGAAGGTGATACCTACCTAGAAAAAGCAGTGCCAGGATCAGCTCTGGTTGGATCAGTCTTCTGGGCTTCTTCTCTGCCTCAGCTGGAATCATGGCCCTGAGCATGGCATCCATGAGGGACCTTGTCCTGCTGTTTCCACAGCTGAATCTAACCTTCTTCATCCTGACACTGTGGGTCCTGAGAAGCCACCTCTGTTCCCTCAATGCAGATGTGTCCACTCTGAAAAACCACAGGTGAGACTGCAGCAAAACCACTCTTGGGGGTCTGAGCTCTTGGTGTGAGTGTGGAAATCCCTGGCATGAAGGGGTTGGGAGTGATTGAGGAGACCCTTGGCCATGAATTCCCACTGTTTCCTGGGCTGTGACCCTGTTGCATGGTAAAGTAGCCAGCAGCAACTCCCTCCCAGTCTGTCTAGAGCCCTGGGCTCAGTTGCTCTTCCAAGGATTATGGGATCTCCTTTCTCCAGGCTGCTGACCTTCAAGGCCATAGCTCAGCTCTTCATCCTGGGCTGCACGTGGAGCCTGGGTCTCTTCCAGGTGGGCCCAGTAGCCAAGGTCATGGCCTATGTCTTCACCATCATCAACAGCCTGCAGGGAGTCTTCATTTTCCTGGTGCATTGCATCCTCAATCACCAGGTGAGGCCCATCACCCTTCACTGCCCATCCGGAGGCTTCAATAACCTTGGAATGATCACATGTGATCTTCTTAGATGGCCATTCCATTGTGCAGTGACCATGCCGTGGTTTTGCAGGTAAGAAAGGAGTACAGGCAATGGATTAAGGAACTCCGAACAACCGCCCCAGAATCTCAGGCATCTGGTTTCTCCATGTCTACTGCCTCCCCCAGCACCAAGATGGTAAGAGGCTCTTTGCTCTCTTCTAGTCCTAGCTGGTGAAAGTGTCACCTCCACCTGGCTTGTCCTGCACCTCCTGAGGTATTTTTATTGCCAGGTGATCCAAGCCTGGTTATTTCAACTTTATGGCGTTTGGAATCACTTTATCTGACAGAAAGAACCTGCCGATCTGTTTATTTTGCTCTCGGGTCCCCTTGAACCTGTTACCTTTCTCTGTGTTTCTTTCAAGGAGTGAAGAACATGGCAGAGAAGTGGTGACTCCTGTGTTGGAAACACTATTTGACCCCCTTCAGGCCCTCACTATTGTCCCTTCAGCTCTGACCCAGTTCCCAAAGCCTTTGTGTTCAGGTTCTTTTGGACTTGCTTTGTGAGATTCTAATGCACCTACAGGAATTTTGCTGATCTGTGAATGTCTCCTACGTTGTTGTCTGCTTAAGGTGTTGTCACCCACCAGTGAGCAGAAAAAAACTGTCAAAACATGACACCCTCTTACAGTAACAAATACCATTTTGTGGATTCTTTTGATGCATGTTCTGATTAGGGGGTCAACATGTTGAGGTCTTTCTCTGCAAGCACAAGGGCAAGAAATGTATTTGGTTCAAACCAAATCCTAAACTGCTTATCCCATCATAGAAGACCAAGAGCGGAGGGTTGAATACCCCACTGAATATCACAAGATGTGCAGTACACCTCTCAAAGGTGTCAGTCCTGCGTCTGATCCTTCCTGAACAACTGGTGACGGGAGAGGCCACTGCTAAGGTCCTGGAAGTCTTCGCCTGCATTCAGTTATGCTGGCATCAATCTGGAATGATGGACAGCTCCGAAGGTCCTTTCCTGGGTCACACCATAGGTCCATCTTGCCCAGTTTCCTGTGTCTCGCACTGGCAAAGAACGGATGCTAAAAGGAAAGTGAACTGGCTCTGACCAGGGTTTTTCCCACTGTTCCTCTCTTGCTTGCAGTCTCCAGCATTTAAGGCCTAGAAAGTTCTGATTCAGAGGCTGTGCCCCTCACCCCCATGCTCTGTAGCTACCGATACCCCTTTCCACCAAGAGTGTGTTCAATAAGGTTGTGTGAAACTTCGGGTGCTGATTTGATTTGATTTGATTTGATTTGGAGGAGATTTGGCCCAATTTGCCAGCCGAATCTCCAAATCTGAACTAAATCAGGGGACTAGTTAAAAGGTCCAAATCAATTCAAAGCTCTCCAAATCTTTTCTGAATTAATTTGGCGAGCTTCAATGATTCAGGCAGTCCCCACTGGCTGCAGCAGGGAGCTGGACCCTGACTCCATGCTGGTAAGTAGGAGGTGGGAGAAGGTGAGCTGGAGGAGGGAGGAGGGGACCATGTGGGGGACCCCTGCCAGTCCCCATCCCCTGCCTGCTCCTCCAGCCCTCCTGAGCACCCCCCGACCCACGCCGTCTCTCCCCCCACCATGGCTGCCTGGCTGCCCCAGCTCCCGATTATTTTTTAAAAAGCCCCTACTCCGCCTGGCTTCGTGCTGCCAGAAAAAGGCACTGAATCGGCTCCCTGGGAATTCCTCCATGTAGAGCAAGCCAGCACCACCACTCCTCCTGCCCCTGGCAGCCAGGGCTCCCAAAGCAGTATGATGTTGTGGTGGGCAAGTTTGTTATTACCCTGAAATAAAATAGTTTTCTGATAGCATACTGTTAGGTTAACAATAATTTAGATTATTAAGAAGTATTAGCTTTACAGCTGAATACAAGGCATGACCTGTGGCCTAGCAATGCCGCTGACCACAAGGCAAAATGATAGCTAAGCCTTTGCTTATGTTAAGTAATCATTTTAGCTATGTTGACCATTTTCTGAGTGAAATGCAGCAAGTTTTTGCTATGTAAGTCTGTATGCTATAAATCTGCTACAGCAAGGAACAAGATAAGACAAAGAAGCCATTGTTCCAAGTACAGTGATCGTGTCCTTAAGAAATATCTACTACTGTGCAAGTTTTTGCTAACATATCATAATGTTACTGTTACTTAACTTTAAGCTTTTAGAAAGTTCAGCTTAATAGAAATATGCTGTTATGAAGATTTGTGAAGCACCACCCAAGTATTGCTTTTGTTAACCCTGTAGTCTTGCATTATTGTAAAAAGTGTAAAAGAACGCCCCACCCTTTAGGGGGGGGCATTTTGCCTCTTTGCTGGCTTATGGTCATTGCTCAAGCAAATAAACTGCAGTAAAGCTTTTACCCGTGTTTCCTGGTTCCTATGCAGCTAGACAACAAACTCCAGGGAGTTTTCTCCCACCACAATTTGGCACCCCAGGTGGGACCCGTCTAGCTTGGTGCCTTTGAAGACCTCCATCCCCTGACAGCCCAGCGTGCACCAGGTGAGTTCACCTATTAGGTTAGTCTCGGGAGGTGGACGGTCCCCTCAGGACCAATAAGGCGGGATCCTCAAATTGGGTAAAGGAACGGTACCGGCGAGTACCTCAGGTCAGGTATGTTTTTGGTTTCTATCTGGTTTCTGGTTTTCTGGTTTTACCTCTAGAGGTCTCTGGAAGCAGTCTTTGAGGGTATCCGTCTGCCACTTTAAAAGCTGTTAGAGCGGCAGCCTGGCTGAAAGGCTAAAGACACGGATATAAGGTAAAAATGCTGTTATAACAGCCAATAACTAGGGTCTCGGAATCAAGACGCCCCTCCTCATGGAGAAAGCCAGTGGGGTCTGAGAACACTGGTTGTTGTATGTGGACGAAACAGCTTCAACCTTCTCTTGCGGAGGCTGAAGAGGTCCAGGTTCTCTAGTCTCTCCTTGTAGGGCTTGGTCTGCAAGCCCTTAACCATACGATCTGCAAGCCCTTAACCATACCTTCTATGTCCAAAACCTTCCGCACCACCTTCATATTCAGAAGATGATTATAGACCCATGCCCAGACCCCCTATCCCACCATTAATCCCACCTAATCCGTTCATTCCCGTGCCGGCAGCGGACTTGGGAAATCTTGGGGAGGCATCACCCCGACTGCCTCCTGGTGACCACCCAAGTCCTGAGCCTGTAGATGGATCAAGGCATCCCTCTCCAGACTCAACTTCCCCGAACACTGATCCGACTCCCATAGCTAATCGTACCGGACAACGAGTACCTGCTCCTACCTTTCTGGCTCCCCTAAGAGAATACCCTGTGCCTGGCGCGGGTGGAGACGTTATCAGTCACTGGACACTTACTCCGTTCTCCACCACCGACCTCTTAAACTGGCAAGAAAACACCCCCAGGCTCAGAGATGATCCCGAAGTAGTTCTAAGGCGCTTCAAAACCATTTTCATGACTCATAACCCCTCCTAGTCAGATGTCATTCAGCTTCTTGAAAGCCTCTTAACTACGGACAAAAAGACCCAAGTACTACGCCATGCTAACCAATTTCTAGCCGATCAGCCCCATGAAAACCACCCCATGCCTAATAGCGTGCCTAGGCAAAATCCAAATTAGAATTATAACAAGGAAGGGGGACAGAATTCAATACGAATGCTAAAAGACAGCATCTTAGAAGGACTAAAAAAAGCGGGAGATAAAACTACAAACTGGTCCCAAGTGACAGCTACTGTTCAGGGTCCCGAAGAACACCCTTCAAACTATTTTAAAAGACTCTGTAAAGCTATACGCCAGTATGGAAACATGGACCCTGAGACACCTGCCACTTTGCCTGTGTTAAAACTTATATTCATAAGTCAGGCTAGCAAAGATATTAGAAAGAAGCTCCAACATAACACTGAGGGTATTGAGAGTAAATCCATGGCAGAAATCTTAGTCATTGCTACTAAAACTTTTAATGGAAGGGAAGAAAAAA